AGAAGATAACGAGGTGATGAGTAATGGTCTGTATTGATTTGTAGGAACAAATCGCATCAGCCCAACCTAATCACGTCCTGTGACAATGGTGATGGACTCCCGGCATCGGGGTGATGCAGATCTCCTTGCATGTAATGGCAAGAAATCTTTGATGTTGCTTCAAATGCATAATTATGGTCTGGGGGAGATCATAGATTTGCCTAGGTTGGAAGAGACCTTTCAGATCATAGAGCCATCAACCCCACACTGACAAACCCACCACTGACCCATGTCCCTCAGCACCACCTCTGCCCGGCTTTGAAATCCCTCCAGGGATGGGGACTCCACCACTGCCCTGGGCAGCCTCTGCCAAGGCTTCACAACCCTTTCCATCAAGAAATTTTTCCTAATATCCATCCTAAACCTCCCCTGGCACAACTTGAGGCTGCTTCCTCTGGTCCCATCACCTGTTCCTTGGGAGAAGAGACCAACCCCCCCTGGCTACACCCTCCTTTCAGGGAGTTGGAGAGAGCAAGAAGGTCTCCCCTCAGCCTCCTTTTCTCCAGGCTGAACACCCCCAGTTCCCTCAGCTGCTCCTCACCAGCTCTGTTGCCCTTCTCTGGACACACTCCAGCACCTCAATGTCTTTCCTGGAGATGGTGTAAGAAGCCCCAAAACCAATCCAAATCCAACAGGGGCTCAAAGGAGAGCTTGTGTTTGAAGGGCTCCAGGATCCTGTGTGACCATTAACAACTGGGAATGAACAACATGATGGTCAATGCCAAGATGTCAGGACTGAGACTGCAGACTGGTAAAAGGGGTGGTAAACTCATGCAGGGCCATCCAGCAAGGACATGGGGGTCTTGCTAGAGAGGAGATGAGCACACAAGACAAATAGGATGGATGGCAAGAGCAAACCATAAATCCCAAAGTGACCCATGCATTTGGGGATGGAGGGCACCTCCTTGGGGTGCCCTGAGGCTCAGTTTTGGAGCTCTGCACTTCAGGAAAGTGATGACCCACCTAGAGAGAGGTGAGAAAACAGTGCCTGCAAAGAGAGAGGGAAAAATCTTGTCCTCCACACCTGCATCTGAAAGGAGAGAGGTCTCAAGAGGTTTTTTTCGGGCTGGTCCAAGCTGAAACAAGAAGCAGAGATGCTGCAAGGTGAAAAGAAGGAGCAGAAGGACAGGTAGGGGCAAGTGAGGAGCCTTCATAGACCCAACACCTGCTCCCTGATGTTTCACAGCTTTGCTGGGAGGAGAGTGGCATCGACCTCTCATGCTGGGGCTTCATCACCTCCCCCAGACCCAACTCCATCCATCCCTGGGGAAGCATGGGGTGTTTGCAGCAGTCAAGGAAGGCACCATGGTCCCACCAGGCAAGAATGTCCATGTCCCCAGTGCAGTACAGCACCAGGGCACGCGTCCCCTCCAAACCTTGGAGCATTTCCAAAGTTCTTTATCTTCATGTCAAGGCAGGAGCATCACCATCTTCAAAGTCAAAGGGTTCAGCTCCCTTTCAGCTCCAGAGAGCCTTGTGCTCTTCCATAACCTCTAACGTCACTCACCAACCATGTTTTATGGCTTTTGGAGAAGGAATGAAGGTGCCCTGCCTCAGCCTGTTTTTACAGCAGATGTTCCTTCTCCAAGGAACCACAGAGAAGGACTAAAGGTCTTTGGGATTTTTGCAGCCTGGCAGGACCTCCAAGCAAAGAGGTAGACCTGGCCCACCAGCTGCCTTGTTTCCCAAAGCGCTATTGATTCATGAAATACAGACCTTAAATGTGACAAAAGGGCCCAAAAGTGTTCACAGTGAGTGTGACCCACCGTGCACATCTGTTTCTCCCCACTCCCCCTCCTTCAGTGCTAGAGTGGATGCTGCCCCAAGCTTAAATATTTGATGGCACATAATTATTTGATGTATTCCCACATTTATTCTTCTCCCCCTGCCCTTCCCACAAGCTCCTTTCCTTTATCTGGCTGCTGTTAGACCACCATCACTTTAAATTTGGGGTTTGCCTAATTTCTGGGAGCAGCTCAAACCTCCCAAACACACCAGCATCCCAAATGGACTTGGTCCTTGCAAAATGCAGGAGAACTTCAGGAAAGGGGAATTCCCCAGGCGGGGAAAAAGTCCTTTGGGGAAAGGATGAGGGACGAGGGCAGGGAGGAGAAGGAAAATCAAGACATGAGAGAAAATGTGCCCGGGATGGGGTTTATTTAAATGGCATTTATGGGGGCATGAATGTGACCCCCAGCTCAGGTCCTCAGAGGTATTTTGGCACCCAAAGGGGTTCCAGCACCCAAATCCTGCTCCCAGCCGCGCTGCTACGGCTGTGCATCACTGCAGCATCCAAAAACCTCAATCATCTGCCCCAAAATCTGCCCATCCCAATGCTGTCCCCCCATGGCCAAGGGCTTGGGGTCCCCAGGGTCATAGCAGCCTGTACCCCCCCTTACTTACCCTCACACCCCCCCCAGCAGCTCTGGGCAGCCCCCCAGGATGGTGATGAGACCAAAACAGGCTCTGGAGCAGAGGTAATATCTTTTATTAGCCTGGTGGATACAATAAAGAGACAATAAAGCCAGGAGGGCACAAGGGGCCAGTCTAATAAAAGCAATGACCTCTGCGTCCCCCGGCATCACCTCCCCCCAAGGACCACGGATCCCCACAGCGCCCCCAAAAAGCTGGGAATGGGATGGGAACCCACAAGGGACAATGTGACCCAAAAAGTAAAAGTGGTGATAACGTGGAGGCAGCGGTGACAGGGGGGGCTGAGGGGTGTCCGGCTTGAAGGGGAGGTTGGGGAGGGGGGACCAGGGCTGGAGGGGGACCAGGAGAGCCCCCAAATCCTCCATGGAATGGAAAAGCACCCTGACAGCCCCCATCCCCTCCCCAGGGCTTGGGGGGAGTATAGGGGGGACCACAGCAGCCCCCAATTGCCTCCATGCTGGGAATGGACTGGGACACCCCCCAAATCCTTGCAGGCTTGAAGGGGACTGGGACAGCCCTCAACCCCTCCCTGGGCTGGAAAGGGATCGGGACAACCCCAAATCCTCCCTGGGTCTCGAGTTTTGAACCAATCCCTGGGCTGGAAAGGGATCGGGACACCCCCAAAATCCTCCCCGGGGCTGGAGGGTGACCAGGACAGCCCTCAACCCCTCCCTGGGCTGGAAAGGGATCGGGACAACCCCAAATCCTCCCTGGGTCTCGAGTTTTGAACCAATCCCTGGGCTGGAAAGGGATCGGGACACCCCCAAAATCCTCCCCGGGGCTGGAGGGTGACCAGGACAGCCCTCAAGCCCTCCTCGGGCTGGAAAGGGACCGGGACAACCCCAAATCCTCCCTGGGGCTGGAGGGTGACCAGGTCAGCCCTCAACCCCTCCCCGGGCTGGAAAGGGATCGGGACACCCCCAAAAGCCTCCCCGGGGCTGGAGGGTGACCAGGTCAGCCCTCAACCCCTCCCCGGGCTGGAAAGGGATCGGGACACCCCCAAAAGCCTCCCCGGGGCTGGAGGGTGACCAGGTCAGCCCTCAACCCCTCCCCGGGCTGGAAAGGGATCGGGACACCCCCAAAAGCCTCCCCGGGGCTGGAGGGTGACCAGGTCAGCCCTCAACCCCTCCCCGGGCTGGAAAGGGATCGGGACACCCCCAAAAGCCTCCCCGGGGCTGGAGGGTGACCAGGTCAGCCCTCAACCCCTCCCCGGGCTGGAAAGGGATCGGGACCCCCCCAAAATCCTCCCCGGGGCTAGAGGGTGACCGGGACAGCCCCCAAATCCTCCCCGGGCTCGAAGGTGACTGGGACAGCCCCCAAATCCTCCCCGGGGCTGGAGGGTGACCAGGACAGCCCTCAACCCCTCCCCGGGCTGGAAAGGGATCGGGACACCCCCCAAATTCTCCCCGGGGCTGGAGGATGATTGGAACAGCCTTAAACTGATCCTCGGGCTGGAAAAGTATTGGGACACCCCCCCAAAATCCTCCCTGGGGCTCGAGTTTTGACCGGGACAGCCCCCAAATCCTCCCTGGGGCTGGAGGGCGACCGGGACAGCCCTCAACCCCCTCCCGGGCTGGAGAGGGACCGGGACACCCCCCAAATCCTCCCTGGGGCTCGAGTTTTGACCGGGACAGTCCCAACCCCTCCCCGGGCTGGAAAGGGACCGGGACACCCCCAAAATCCTCCCCGGGGCTAGAGGGTGACCGGGACAGCCCCCAACCAATCCCCGGGCTGGAAAGGGATCGGGACACCCCCCAAATCCTCCCCGGGCTGGAAGGTGACCGGGACAGCCCCCAAATCCTCCCCGGGCTGGAAGGTGACCGGGACAGCCCTCAACCCCTCCCCGGCTCTGGAAAGGGACAGGGGACACCCCCCAAATCCTCCGCGGGCTTGATGGGGACAGCGACATCCCCTAAACCCTTCCCAAGATTGGACAGGGACCGCGACATCCCCTAATCCCTCTCCGGGATGAAAGGGGACCGGGAGAGCCTCCAAATCCACCCCAGGCTGAAAAGAGACCGGGACACCCCCCCAACCTCTCTCCGGGGCTGGAAAGGGATGGGGACACCCCCCCACCCCCTAAATCCTCCCCGGGCTGGAAGGAGACCGCGTCAGCCCATCCCCACCCCAATCCCCC